TGATCATTGTTTGGGTTTTGATGGCTCAGAGTGAGTGTAAATAGCAGTTGTTTTTGTTCTGGCCAGAAACTCAGAGGGTCTTCCCCTCCCTGACTGATTCTTTTGTGAAGGCAAAGTAGATCATCTTTTATCTCAATTCTTACCTAGCCTTTAACTACTGATTGGGTGCTGCCTCAGACAAACTGAGACCTGGGAAAGACCTTAGCTTAAAAATTCCAAGGTCTCCAACTACATCCAGGACCATTACCAGTCATCCTGACCTGTGTCTTGCCACTGGACCCCAGTGACTCTGGAGGAGAGAGTGGGGCTGACAACTCTGCACAGTTCTGCCTCATTTAAGTGTGATTTACTTGTAAGTCAAGATATCACCCTCCTATGTTATTGGTTGTCTTCAAGCATGAAGGATGAACAACAGTCCAGATTACCAAATCTGGCTCTCAATTTAAACTCAGGGCATCTTAATGCTTTCTGAATTAAGTTTGGAAAGTTATTTTTAATAAGAAAGAATTCAATGATTTTCTTTTAACAAAAAATAGTCTTTTAAAATCTCTTGTTTAAAATAAAAAAAAATTAAAAACCCCATCAACTCATTAAATGGGAAAACAAACAAAGCATCCAAACCTAAATGAATGAATGAGCCCTTAGTCAAATATTAGGGCTGTCCAAAAATGGAATGGGCTGCTTTGTAGGGTAATGAGTTTCCTCTCACCAAAAATACTTGCACAAAAGCTGAACAGCCACTTGTAGGGATGTCATTTAGGCAATTCCTTCTTCAGACAGGATTTACACGTTAATATTCCAAATCAAAGACTATAATTCTGTTGACAATAAGTGGTGCACAAGGAAGGGTGAAGGCAGCTTCATTGTATGGTGTCCCCATCTTTGTTACAGTGTTTGGCATCTGTCCTACTGTGCTTCACACACCCACCCTTCAGTCCCAGATGACTCTAATTTGCTAGTTCGTGCTATCAGTCCCAAACCTCTTTACTGAGAGAATTGTAACAGTTTTTGGGATGCAGCTGTTGGCTTGAATCTCACTGCTGACAACCTACTAGCAAAATTTCCATATCAAAGTCTATTTTGTCAGGGGAACTGGAAGCTTCAGGGCAGAAGGAAACTTTCTCCTTTCATGTCCCTTGCTGGAATTCAGCCCAGGTCAGTGGTGAAGGAGAGAAGTCCCTACTTGACACGTGCTTGGTGGCCACAAGAAATGAGTCAGTGAACCAAGCTGAGTGGCAGGCAGGTGTTGTAGTCAAAGAAAAATCCCACAATTAGCTTCATTCCTGGCAGCTGATTGCAGAGCAAATGAAAACAAGGGCTCCAGAGGCATAAGTCTAAGTAATCCCCCAAAGAAAGGGTATAGCATATGCCTTGAAGGGGCTGCTCTCTCCCCCCATCAACTAGACTTTACTCGTTTTATAGCTTTGTTCCTGCTGCAAGAGTGGCAATAATACCCAGACCACCTGGATACTTGAACACTCAGTTTTCTCAATTCTGCTCTCCCAAGTCCAGGTGTGCACTCCTACAGCAGCAAGATGAGGCTATTTTGTGTTTGATTCAGACCAAAATGGCCATTTCTTGGGCTTCAATATCCAGATTGCCTCAGTATTTCAGTTTAGCAGGAGGCTCATTCTATCTCTAAGTTAAGAGAAGAGAGCACTGGAATGCATATGTGCATCGGCACATCCGTGTACCAAAGGTACATCTAGTACCATCCTGCCATGATCTTCACAAAGGTGGAGGTGGGATGGTAAAAGAGGAGGTTTAAAGAAAAAGTATTATTTTTAAGTATATTGCTGTTAACTGGCTGATTAAAACATTCTGGAAGATAAAATCTTTATATTTCCAAAATTTCTCTATTTGAGCACCTGTTTCACCGATGGCTAACAAGTCCACTAAGCGAACAAATACTCGGCCCCACTCCACCCCCCCAAAAAAAGTCATCTGGAAGAGAGAATTTGAAGAACTGGAAGACATTTAAGGCACTTTATTCAATTGTTCAGTGATCATATTACTGCTGTTATGTTGTTATTCTGCTGCTCATTCTTTATTCTATGGCTTTTTATTAACAACTTTATTTTAAGCTAGGTAAAATAGAATGCAACCCCAGCCTAGACCATCTTCCCCCTCCCCATCTTTCAAGTTCCAAGTTCCAATTCAAAGGCTTGCCCATTGAAAACAAAAAACAACAACAACAAAAAAGAAATAAAAACCAGGAAACTCTTGGGGTAGACATATTTCTTATTTTTGTTACATAATTGACATTTGTATAGCACTTTCCAGTTAACAGATCACTTTGCCTATATTATCTCATTTGACTCTCAATATATAACTCCCTCATTTAACCATCCCCAATGTTTCACACAAGAATTCAAAAGCAAAATCTTCAAAGATCAAGTTAAATTTCAAATTTTTGGACTGGTATCACTGAACCTGTTCTCTGTGGAGAACTTAGAGTCCAGGAAATAATTCAGATAGAAGCTGGCAAAATAATTTCTGATTACTCTGCCCAATTATCTGGGATCATTATGCCCCTTTTGTTTTTTGCTGCAGGAGAATAGGGTGTTGCCTTTATTTTGCTGTTGTTCCAACTTTCCACTTGGGTACTTACCTCCTTGGAGGAGGCAGAGACAGAAGTCAAAGGGCCATGAGCAGCTAGGGGGACACTAAAGCCACCAGAAATTGTTTATTAGTAAGGAGTAAATGCCAGAGACTGCTAGAAATCCTGTGGCTGGTGAGCCATGAGGGCAATATCCTCAATGTTCTTTAACTTATGAGCTTCAAGACAAGATAATCCTTCTCCAACCTACCATGATTTGTCAGTGTATATGGACTGGGCATTTTCCCAGGCAGAAAAAATGATTCTGGAGAATAAGAAGTTTCTTTATATTATTAAAAAAAAACTATGATCATAAGATACTTAGGTCTCTATATAAATGTAGTAGGAAGTAACTCTTTGTAAGGTTGAGTCTCTAGACAGATATAGATAGCAGATTGTTTTGATATTTAACTAACATTCCACTTCATCTCCTGGACTAAATTGAACCCAATCAGCAAGAGGTTGACAAAAAAGTTACTTCTGTCAACAGTGCTGAAGTGGGGCTGTGTGCCATGTTGTGAAAATAACAGCATAGAGGTGTAGAGCATAGAGGGCCCAGCTTGGAGTCTGAAAGACTTGAGTTCAAATTTGACCTCAAATAAGCTGTGTGACCCTAGGCAGGTCACTTAACCGCCACCTGCCTCAGTTTCCTCAATAGAGATAATAATAATAGTTAACATTTATACAGCACTATGTGCTAAGCACTTTTCAATTATTATCAAGTTTGATCCTCACAACCCTGAGAGGTAGATATTATTATCCCCATTTTAAAGCACTTAGTACAAGTGCCTAGCGCATTAGTGCTATATAAGTGTTAGCTATTGTTATAATAGCTCAGAGTTAGAATTTATGTAGCACTTTTAAGGTTTGCAAAATACTTTACACCTCATCTCATTTAAGCCTCATAGCCACCCTATGAGATATGTGCTATTACTATCATTTTACAGATGAGAAGACTGGCAAACAAGTTAAGTGACTTGCCAGGATCACACAGCTCATAAGGAAGATCTGAACACAGACCTTCTTGACTCCCAGTCATGCACTCTATTCGCTGGGTCACCTAGCTGCTGTTTGCAAGCTTCAGTGCTCTTTAATGGCTAATAAGAATACTCCAGCCTAATAAAAAGTGCCGATTCCTTGACACTCCTCATAATGACTTACCAGGAATGGGGCTGCTCACTCCGGCAGAGCAACATCTGGTGGCCAATTCAGATATTGCACTCAGCTAAACTCCCTGATAGAAGATTAACACAGGGACACCCACCATTCTCCTTGTACCGACCGGCAAGGACATCACTGAGACCAAGGCAAACGAGCATCATGTTTTATTTTTTATTCAAGGGCCCTCCCAACCAATGCAATGCTAAAAATCTTATTCTATAGATGGGACTTCGGAGCTTTAATAAATATCTATAGAAGGAAAAAAACAAAAAGTATACAAGACTACTAATTCAATCAAGAGTAACAAAAACCCTTATTAAATTAAGAATATAAATGCCTTTTGAAAACAGTCCAATAGTTAGCTAAGAAATCTCACAATTATTTGAATGAACATAAATATGATTTTTTAAAAATCATGTATACTTTTTTTTTTACAATCATCTTCAAGTTAAAATATTTAGTTTTCTTCAAGCATTACATTATTGTACATTCAGAACAGGTTCCCTGTATACTTCATTCTTTATCCTCTACCCATGCATACTTTCCACTCCCTTCAACAGTAATTTGATATTACTTTGATTTCATTTTAACATGAGGTAATAATTCAGCAGGCATTGAGAAAAATATATATTTCAATCATTACATGATATTTAATTGAGTAAATTTAGTTTCCTTAGTATTTTTATAAACCTGATACCAAAGATGCTTGTGTCTTCCTCAATTTATGTCTCCAAATGTTCTTATGGCCCAAAATGTTTTCAAGCTGTAGTTGATAAAGGCATAGCCTTGAAATAAACTTGGATATCACAATAATAGAATTAGAGCCACATTCAACATCATTTTAACAAGACCTGCGCCATAAAAAAAGAAAGTTTATTTGAAAATGTTTTTATATTGACATATCAGGAATTTTTAAAAAATTCACACTCTGATCATAAAGCGGCAGGCTAAATTCTTAGACTCTTTTATAGTATTGTTGTTGATCAAGACCAAAAATACCTCCAAGCTCAAAATAGACATTTGTATACAGAGTGGTAGAATTTCAGTGAAAGGTGCTTTTATTATTCTCTCATACTCCTTATTAGGGCAGCTAGGTGGCACAGTGAATAGGGCACTGGATCTGAAAATAAGGAAAACCTGAGTTCAAATCTGACCTCAGACACTTACTAGCTGTGTGACCCTGGGCAAATACTGAACCCCATTTGCCTCAGTTATATGTAAAATGAGCTGGAGAAGGAAATGGCAAACCACTCCAGTATCTTTGCCAAGAAAATCCCAAATGGGGTCATGAATGGCAGGACATGACTGAAAGCAACTAAACAACTCTCTATTATCATTCTAAGTCCCTTCCCTTAACTGTCCCCCTCAAAGGGCTGATGCTATAATTTCCTCTTTTAATATTTTACCAAGTATATACTTAAGGTACAGCTTTAAACCTGTATGTTCATGACAAGAACTTACACAGTTGGGGCTTCTTCCTATTTGAGAACGCATCACATATGCAACTGTGACTGTGTTACTGTGTCACTTTCATGTGTCTTTTTTCTCTGAATTCTTTTTCAAAAGCTAGCAAGTTTCACTCTAATAGTTTATAGCAAATATTCCCCTTAATCTTATAGAGCCTTTGGAGGGGGGAATTAGCAGTTTCCTAGAAACAAGATGATGGATTGTGGGGCTGCTAAAATCTTGTGTTGGTTTCCGAAGAAAATTTCAAAACCAGATAGTGGAAACATTAAGGAAGCATAGATCATTACGGGTTAGAAAGAACTTCTCATTTCATGAAGCAGACGAGGAAAATGAGGTCCAGAGGAAAGAAGGACCTTTCCCAAGGTCACAGAGTTAGTGATAGACCCAAAATTAGAAACCAGGTCTCCTATATAGAGTCTAATGGGCTATATTACAATGATGAATGTCACCACTAATATTCAGTAAGTGGCCATGGGATTTGATTAGGCCCTAGGCACAGCTTTGCATAGGTAGACATCTTTCATTCAGAATCATATGATTTAGAGTAAAAAAGGGACCTTAAATTTCCAATGTTGCCAACCTCTTAAAGAAAATCAGACTGTAAGTTAGTGTCAGAGTCAGGATTGGAACCTGGGTTTTAAAATTTCAGATTCAGTGCTCTTTTCCACATACCATGTTGCCTTCGCCTTGGAGGGCACTATTTTTTTTTCCATACATAGACAAGCTACAGGCCACATTTAGAGTATTTATGATTTACAGGGAACCAACAGAAGTCACTAATCTCACATATTCAACCATAATGCCCTTTTCTTGATGTACTTCCAAAGTACAGTCACCCAAATATCTGCTTGCTGTACCAGTATTCTTCCTTAAAGGCTATTTCAGGCCTTATACATATACTTATATTTAGGCCATATACATATTGGGAAAATGAAATAACACTGCTGTCAATCTGAGTCAAGAAAGAGAATCAAACCAATCCACATTGTTTTGGCCTTTTTTTCATTTATTTTTCTTTCAACCCTTAGTGACCCTTTTCTGTTATCTACCATCAATGTGCATGAAAAGCACCAAAGTTAAAAAATGATTTCAAGTTAGTGGCTTACAGGTGTGTGGTGTGTGTGTGTGTGTGTGTGTGTGTGTGTGTATAGATAGATAGACAGATAGATAGATAGATAGATATGTGCACACACACATAGTCTAATGGGCTTTGAACCAAGTACTTAGTGCATCAAAAACTGGGAAAAGGAAGAAAAGGCATAATCAACACTTTAAACAAGCTACTCAAGGCATAAAACCACTGCTGGGGAACCATCTTGGCTAAAACATCCCTGTGGCTCTTATCACTGAACCAATCTTGCTATGACTTTTAAAGCAACTGTATTTCTTCATAAGGCCCAACATTTTTGATGTGGATAATATATGGTCCTTCCAAGTCAAGAAGATTAGTAATCCTCCAGAAAAAGTTGGAAGTTGATGACTTGCATAGCTGAAGTGGCCTGTGCTATGACTGTCCACACAGAACCATAAAACATTATAGTTGGAAGGGAATTTAGAGACTCTCTACTCCAACCCTCTCATTTTACAGATGTAGAAAATGAGGCCCAAAGAGATAAAGTGACCTACTCAAGATCAAAGAATCAGGCATTGGCAGATCCAGGACCAGACATAAGTTATACAACATGCCAAAGTTCAGTACCACCTTGAGACTGAACTATATATTTTTTGATATCAAATATCAAACTGCTTGTTCTTAGTACTGAAACATTAATACACAATGGGAAGAAAATAGTCCTGAGTTAACTCTTTGGTATTACCATTTTAACTCCTACAATACTGCATCTTAGAAATACTATAAACACTAAACAATTGTTGGTATCTTGTCATATGCAAGAATAATTATGAAGAAGGATTTTCAGTGCATTATATTTCATCTTCATATGTATTAAAATGTACTGATGTTGAAGAGTAATGAGTATACTGGAGTAGAATATCTGGATAAAGTTGGGGAAATGGATGAGCCAAACCTGATTTATGAGTTGTTTTTCCTTTCAAATGTCACAGGCACCAAATCAAACTGTGAAAAGAAAAATCATCACCTCTCCACTTTCATACCTAAGTTTAATGTCCCTTGGATACAATATTCTTGTCAATATGCCATCAGGGAAAATCTTATTTCTTAGCTAATTTTAGTAAAAAAAAAATTCTTCTTTATTCCTCAAGGTGACTCTTTTTCATATTAATTTGCTTCTACCTACTATCTGGGCAATTCAAGAATTTTACAAGTGGACAAGGTAACACCTGAATCAGTCCCCACATGGTGGAGGTAAATTTGGGGAAATACGTCATCATAAAGTATTCCCCTTTCTGACCAGAGAAAATTGAATTATGGGCTGGAAACAAGGATAAGAGTGGCACAAACACCACTTCAGTATTCACATTACTACTTTATAAACATTTTGCATGACAGTTATGTATTTCATCAAACAAGAGGCTAAAATATAACTTGGCCAAACTGAAGAAATTCTGGGATACAGGTCATCACATTTTTGAGGTATGTAATGTAGTGCTGCCAGGAAATGGCTTCAAAAAGAGAAAGAAAATCTGCAGATGCCATTTAATGCTTCAGAGCCTTCTCTACGCCGTGCCGTGGTAGCCAACTAAAGTGCTTACGCTTTTGGAAGACCAACAGATCCTGGATTAACTTCCTGCAGGCTTCTTTTTCCCCTAGTGGTTCTAATGCAGGGCAGAACCTGGGGCCTTTTATTCACATTAACAGGTAGAAAACACAGAGAAGTATATATTCTGACCCTCAGCATACAACTTTGAGACCTGAGGAAATCAACTAAAGTGGTAAACATATTTGTTAAAACTTTAAGCCTATTTGGTTTGGACTGAAAATTTCCATCAAACAGGTAAGTTCTATTTTCATGAAAGATCTGATTTTTGTTTATTTGTTTAACTCAAAGTATTCAGAGTCATAAGAAATTATTGAAAGATCAATGACTGACTTCACACAAACCAAAGAGCAACATTCTCTTAAGTGTCCTCAGCTACCACAGATCTGGGATGCTTATGATCAAGGAAATTCAAAAGGAAATTCCCAGTATTGGCAGGGAGTGGGGGTGGGGGTTGGGTAGGAGCTGTGCAACTATCTTGTAATCTATTTTTAGTTTAACTATAATACCCTCAAGGGATTAAATAAAATTAAAATAATCTCTAACTCTGTGTGTGTGTGTGTGTGTGTGTGTGTGTGTGTGTGTGTGTGTGTCTGTGAGTAAGTAAGTGAGAGAGAGACATACCTGTCAAATGGTTTACTCAGTAGTCACAGTAATTAAGAACTGAAGTGGAAATTCTTATTCCGTTGTTCAATCTGGACTGTGCTAGGTTATTTCACTACACTATATTTTCCTATCTACAAAAAGAAAATTGTAAAAAATTTAGCCAAATTGACAGAAACAGGAGAAATCAGTTTTTCTTTTCATTTCATGCAGTCTAAAGACTGTCACTTAGCATTGCCAAATCAGGGAGCTACCATATTGCTCTCATCTCACTTTTATGCCCCTTTTTTGCCTCCACAGTAGCTGATGCCAGGAATTCTGCAAGGAATTTTGATAGGGATGGGGGAGAGGCAGCCAGCAAAGGGAAGAAAGCAGAGGCCACACAATGCAAACGCATAGGAAAGGCAGGTGGTCAAGCATCAAGGGGCAAAAGGGAATGAGGCGGAAAATGTTTAATAGTCACACTTATTCTTCCATTTTTCCTTTTCAGCCCCAAAAGCAAGTAGTGGGGAGGGAGTGAAAGGGGCAAAAGGGAATGAGGCGGAAAATGTTTAATAGTCACACTTATTCTTCCATTTTTCCTTTTCAGCCCCAAAAGGAAGTAGTGGGGAGGGAGTGAAAGGTAAAGAAAAGAGTTCTGTGAGAACAACTATTGAACCTTAGCAAATATGGCAACTGGGAAAAACAAACAAACCAACCCGAGTGCCATTTTGATGGTAACAGTGGAAGAACACTCTTCAAGTCTGCCAAGTTTGACACACTTCTGACACACTCACACTTAACTGACATACATTAATAAGTTCCATGATTCTCTTCCCCAGTACGGACAAAGAGGGCCAGTTTCTTACTCTAGTGAAACTTGTTTTTAAAAAAAGGGAAGGCGAATAAACAACCTAATTATCTTTCCTAAGAACTCAATGCCTTCCCCATAGGAAACCTTTCTCCCCTACTGAGGTTGGCTGAACTAGCTCACCCAAAGAAAACAGAGAACAAACCCAGTGTATCTATATTTTTCTTTAGTTTTCATCAACCTATTCTGCTGACATTGTCAACTATTGAATGGAGAGTTGCTCCCTCCCTTTCCCATCCTGTGGCTGGGTTACAAAACAAGAGCATAAGCGTCTTTGCTACAGCTGGGAGACAGGCCTGGAAAACGACTTCCTTGCCTTGTGAGATTGCTGTAGTAGTAAATCTGCTTATTCAGGGAGAAAAACGAGAAGAACCAAACAAGCCAGCCATGAGGGGAAAAAAAGTGCAGAAATAATGTAAAATGCCTTCCCTTCAGAGTCTGGGTGTGAGGAGTTCACGATATAGTTGGATAAGCCATGTACCCTAATGTGGTACTAAACATTCACTAGTTTTGTTCATTTTCTGTTTTCCACATAATGTGCCCACACATATACATACACAAATAACACACGCAATAACTATTTCTCTGTTCCTGCGAACACCCAACTAACTCTGTGCTCCACATTATGCCTTTTCCACTGTATTCCTTTGACCAATTATCTTGTTTTCTTCAATAACAGGGAAAGTGACAAACACAGCATCTGGCTTGCCAAGAACATGTTTGCTTGGCCAAAACCTGCTGGCTTGACAGTTTAGAAGAAATATATAAGGCTCATTTTGCTGACATCATAAGCATTCTCTTTACTGTTTGCCTATTCAGTATGTGGACCCCAAAGTGTCCTTTACCTGTGACTGAAGCTAGGAAAAAATGTAGTAACATCCAAAACTCTCACTTCCTAATCCTATATGATAGCTAGAGAAATGTGGAGCTCAGCTGTATCAATAACCTGGTCAAGTTTTGAACAGTTGCCAAAGGCATATGATGAGGCAGGGGCCTGAGCAGCACCAGAGGAGGGCATGCCTAATAAATACTATACAGTATTAAATGACATCTGTACAATATTAAATGACCAACCTTTGGGGGAACATAGGAAGTACTGTCACAATACAAACAATGTACCTATCACTGATTTGACAGAGGGACTGTCCTTCAAACATTTGGCTAACAGAACCTTCTTCCCCAACCTCTAACCTCACTAGGTACCAGCAAGAACTTGGGACATCAAATTTACTCTCTTTGACATAATGACTGCTCTGGGGTAGATGATGCTTGTAGAAGGGTGAGAAGCTGAGCTGCTAACTACCCAGTAGAGGTGGACATCTGTCACTGCATTTGTATCCTCTTAGCACAAAAGCTGAGTTAACAGATTATCACTTCCTAAGTTTGATAATCAATCCATTTACATGCACACTGCCCCCTGACGTCCCAGTGCTAGAAACAAGATAGAAAAGGAAGAAAAGAATAAAGGGGGGAGCTCTGACCATCACACACTTCTTTCATTATAGCAATATGCTTCCACCTAAGAGATGTCATCTTTTCCAAATGGCAGAGAATGAGAATTATCCATATCTCTCCATACTGGTGGCTCTGGTTCTACAGATATAATTCTGGGGACCAGTGAAGGCTTGCAGGTTGCCCTCTCATCTTTTTTATTATGAAAATGTCTATACTTTTGTTTTTGATTGGCTTTAATAATTTAATAAATCCAGATGTAAAACACAGATGACCTCAGTAGGAACATCCCAAACAAATACAAATCTCCTGTTAATCCAGATAGAATTTGACGTTTTTTTTTAATCACATAAAATAGATGAAGTAAGTGGCCCACATTTCAGGAACCACTCATGTACATAATTTATAGATAGACCCCCTGACAATGTTGGAATTGGCAAAGATAACATCTGAATGCTGAAGTTCTAATATTACAAAGAGATATCATTAGTACCAGGTGGATGTGATTCAATTAAATTTCAATTTCATAAACATTTATTTTGTCTAGTGTATGCACAGTACTGTGTGAGGCACTTAACTGCACTGTCCTTGAGTATGGGAGGAATGGGGGAGAGGACAGGAATTTGGAAATGTATGGTATCTCTATGCCATTCTACAGGACTGAAGGGTTGCCAGTAGTGTGTGCATTACAAATATTCCACCACAATACCTATGGTCATGGATTCACTACCCTTCCTTATTGGCTCTGAGATACAAGTGGTACCAGGGTTTCTTGTACAGCGTATAGGCCATCCCAATGGGAGTTGTTTATACTCCCTTCCTGCTTCCCTTTACTTATATTTTTAAGTGGTGAAATCTAGGTCAAAAGAACATCTAGGACCACAATGAGGGGAAAAATTAAGAGAGAGTTTGGGGTGAGGTTGAAGAGGGACCAGCACAAGCCATACCACCCACCTTCCCTTGGAGATGGGGGAGGAATTTATATAGGTCATTTGTTTTCCATTAGCTAGAGTAACTGCCTTCTTCATACCTGGCAGATGCCTACCTGAATTCTGCCCAGCTCCCAAATCTCACAGCAGCATTACCAATTCACCATGACGATTTCTATATTTTTACTCAAACCAAAGGAGAAGATAGGCAATACAGGAACCTTGGAGCCCTGAGTTAGACATAGCAGCAAAGGAAAACGTCACCTTTTCACTCGACAGGCTCAAGCAGCTGATGTGAGCTGAATCTCCCCAAGCCCTTGTGTTCATTCAGCATGCTCCCTACTTTCTCTCCACATGCCTTCTCAGCATGACCTAAAGGAATGCCCCCATGTTGCATGGCTACTGGCCAAGCAGAACGCCCCTCGAGCCTGCATTTGGGAAGCTGATCCCAGATGCTAGAACTCCACCATGGGTTCAAGTCCTGTTCCTCCAGGGAGATACTCGTCTTTCTTTTGAAGCTTCCATTGTTTTCTTCTTTTCTGCCTGTTCTGCTTTTCTCCTCTCCTCCTTTGCTTCCTTGTATCTCCACTTAGGAATCTGCAAATAGGTATTATCCTTCACACTGCTCTTCTTCTTCACTCTCTCTGGCTGAAAAGTGGGAGTGGGGGCCTTGTTGATGCGGACCTTTGGAATGACAAAGCCTGGCCTCACACTACTCCTCCTCAACAAATGCAGGGGTAAGAGGCTGGCCTTCCGAGAGACTGCAGAGCTCCCCTGAGCAGTTGTAAAGTTGCAAGTTTGAAGACTTGCTCTCCTGTCTGTCTTTTGGGGAGCCATCTCAACCTGGGAGCTCTGAAAGACCTTAAAGCTCTCCACCTTGCCCTTCTCATGATCATGGGCTTCTCCAGTGTTTTGGTGCCAGAGGATTTCCTGCACTGCAAGGCGCCTCTTCCCCACACAGGGAGGGTTCTCAGGGCACACAGTCTTGCAGGCAACTGCCACAGCAGGGCTGTGGAGACTCGTGGTCATTCTAACCATATGGTCAAGGACTCCCCCATCTTCAGGTCCTTGGACATGACGGGAAGACAAGATTGACCGAAAGCACTCAGTTAGCCTCCGTAAACAGCTCTTGGGCTCTGCTGGTTTGACAAGAATGTCCTTCACCACTGGCCAGTCTGGCTTGTACTGTTCACTGAACTGCTCTGGACAGGGCCTGTCCAAGAGTCTCTGAATAACCCAGACAGCCTCAGACCTGCCTGTGTAAGATGCCCATTCCTGTGGAGTCATCCCTCTGTTGGGATCGGTTGCATGGACATCTGCTCCTGAAAAATGAAGACAAAAAATAAGAACTCTCCCTACTTCCCACCCAAAAAACAGAACACAGATAACTGAAATTGAACTCAATTTACAATGCTTAACAACTCACTGTGTATTGCAGGTATCTCATCTTGGGAAAAATCTAATTCCCAAATGTGTGCATTTTGTATTATTATCATAATCACCAACAACTTATGAGTAGAAATCAAACTTTCATTCTTACATTCTATTTGGTGCTTTATCTTTCTGGATTCCATTCTCACTAATCTGCAGTTTGGAGCATATGAATGTGTATAAAATCTTTTGTTGCTTTCTACTACATAGAGAATCTTATCTTTATGCTAACAAAGGTCCCTTGGAACCTGCTTCAAGAAATGGATAAGAATAATTTTTAATTGTGATTTTAATTGGTGGTATTGTTAAAAGATGCTTCTAAAGTACTTGGAAACAGTTTATACTCAAGTAGGTTAAGTATTTCCCTTGACCTACAATTTCATTAGTTGGGAATCAACAATAAGGAAGCTCCTATTACCAATGGAGATTATATGAGTGAACTCATGCAAAGCACTCTACAAGCTGGAAAAACCAGTACATATATAACAATAATAATAGCTAGCATTTGGTTTGCAAAGTACTTTACAAACATTTCATTTTATCTTCATTGCAAGTCTGGGAGGTAGGTGCTACCATTATCCCCATTTAACAGATGAGGAAACTCAGGCAAACAAAGATTAAGTGATTTGCCCACAGTCATACAGCTAGTAAAGGTCTGAAGCCAGATTCAAACTTAAGTCTTCTTATTTCCAAGGTCCAGTGCTCTATCCACTGTGCCCACTAAACAAACTACAAAATTAAAAAATTTTTAAAACCCCATAAATTTTCATTGGCCCCAAATCATAATGCTAATTTGATAAAAGACTGAATTTCCCCTTACATTGTAGTTTTCTACAACAGGAACAAGATACAGAAATACAAATACGACAATTCAAGCAAAGATGGCGATGATATTCCATAAGGAGAGGGGGAATAAAAGAGGAAAAAGAATTTAGCTCCCTCTCTCCCTCCACCCCATTTAAAAAAGATGGAGATCACTCCATCCCAGGAAGCTGAGAATCACCCAAACCCGACTAGACACCTGCCCCCTGGTAGTTACTCATGGGATGGATTCATGATTGAAAGGGAGCAAAATTAAAATCTTGATGAACAATTCATTATTAATGAACAATTTTTATTATCAATGCCTGATCTGCAACTTATTGTTAATTATATAATTTATTCTCTTGTTTACAGCACTGAAAAGTCTGGTGACTTGCCTAGGGTCACACAGCTAGCATATGTCTGAGGTCAAATTTGAACCTGGTCTTCCTGGCTCTAGGTGCAGCACTCTACTCACTGTGCCACCTAGCTGCCTAACACTGTCAACCTCTGCTTGGCAATGTCTAGTTATATAACTGATATAGTTGTCTAGAGGAGAGGTATCCAATATGCTGCTGCCATCTTAGCCCTCTAAGTGCCAGGAACCAGATTAAAATCTAATTGGAAAATTTTTAACAAAATAAATAAAAATAAAAAGTAATGTTGATTTGTATTTTTCTAAGTTAATAGGTCCCTGTAAGGATCCACTTCTACTGAATTTGTCACCACTGATCTAGAGCACTGGGACGTTAGGCAACCTTCCCAGGATCACACAGTCAGGATGTGTCAGGGAGGAGACTTAGAAATGGACCCTCAAAAAACAGATGTTTAAAAAAATGTTTTCACATGCTCCTGGGAAATAAGAAATACAGGAAACGGGGTACAGAAGTCTATCCTGCCCTACAGGAAAATAGACGGGGAAGGGGATAAGAGAAGGGGAGAGAGATAGAAGAGAGGACAGACTAGGGGAAGGGATATTCAGAATGCATGCCATCTTGGGATGGGGGGAGGGGGGAGATGGGGTGAAAATTTGGAATTCAAAAACTTGTGGGAGTGAATGTTGAAAACTAAAAATAAATTTATATTAAAAAAAAGCACTTTACAAATATTTCAACAAGTCTAGAAGATAGGTGCTATTATTATCCCTATTTTACAGATGAGGAAACTGAGGCAGAATTTAAGTGACTTGCCCAAGATCACATAAACTTGTATCTAGGGCTGGTTAAGATCTTTGTCAGTTATAAAAGGCTTTCTTAGGAACAACACAGGGTTGACGTGTTTCCTTCCTCATCTATAAAATTGGGATTACAACAATAGGGTCTGCCTCATAAGGCTGTTGTGAAGATCAGACGAGATAATACAAAGTACTCTGCAAACCTTAAAGGGATAAATATTAGAGATCATTATTATTGTTTGTGGGTTTGTTTGGTTTTTTTTTTTCTGGAGACAATTGCGGTTAAGTGACTTACCTAGGGTCACACAGCTAGCAAGTTTCTGAGGTCTGATTTGAACTCAGGTCTTCCTGACTCCAGGGCTAGTGCTCTATCCACTTCAACACCTAGCTGCCCCATCTATTATTATTGAAGCTTTAGCTGTAAACTCATTGTATGAGTTGACCTCAATGGGACACCCATTCTGAACCTGAATATGTAATTCTGCAAGTCCCCACCGTTACCTCACACCAACAAAAGTAGATTTATCTAGGGATATACTGGCAAATGTTTAACAACCATCTCTCCAGGAAAAAAACCGTGCATATAATACAATTTTAAAAGTTAAAAAAAAAAAAGAAATTGACCCTTAGTCCATTATACTCACCCATCTACCTTTCAGTAATCCAAATGAACAAAGATTTATTGTACTGCCAAGGCCAAAACAAAGCCAATTGCACAAATGGCTATAAAATGATTCGAGACTTCTGCTTTTAGTAACAGTATCTCTAGCAGAAAAGCAATGGGATGATTTAGGGCAGTAATCTGCATAATCAGGTAATGACCATTTTTGACCTCCCTTGCTGCTGCTCAGTTCTCCTCTTGGCCAAAGCTGGCCTAGCACTACCTTCAGTACATCTTCATTTTCAGACAAATTTAAGAGCTATGAGGGAAGTAGTTGCAATTATTTAGAACTGAAAATCAGGAAGTAACATTAGCTGAAGTACAATTTATAAATTGACTAAAAAAGAAACAGGGCACTAAAAATGTCATTACAAAAAATAAATGGCACATTAAAACTAAATTAATTGCATGTCACTTAAAAGGGAACAAACTGCAAAATTAAAATCTTAATGAACAATTCATTGTTTGAAAGAGACATTTTTAAAATGCTAATGGAACACAAAAGGAACAGCTGTCAAAATTTTAAGAAATCTCCTCCCTGTGGAGAAAAATCTGCCCTCCTTTTTGCCCTCTGTGTATGATCTTGGGATGTACAAAAGATTCAAAAGATCAGAAGGCATTTCCATTATGAGACATTAAACAGCCCTAGATTTTCTGTGAGATGTATCATAAATCAAGGTGAACTCTAATTCAAAACACCCATTATCAAACCGAATATTAATACTATAGATATAGCAATTAAATAATGGCCTGTAATGGACTGATGTTAATTATTTTATACTTAGGTCATGCCATTCAATGAAAACCTCAAAGAATTGTCATATTAAATCATTTTACAACGTGACTAATGTTAGCTTTACCTCCTACTCTATCCACTGTTGAATCCAGAACCCTGCTTCCTGACCCTGGCCAACATCAAAGATGCCACTGTCCCAGTACACAGCTGTTAACCGTAGAGATGAGACCCCCCCCCCCCAGCTCACCCACAATGAATACGTGTGCCTACAAAGGGCTCACAGTCAGACATGGTCGGCCTGTTGCCCCTTCCCATAGTAGATTTAGAAAGTGCTTGATAATCATTTAGCCAGAAGCCTAGCTAAATTGTTAGCAAAGTGATTCTGTGGAGCTGGGAGGGATGGGGTAAACCGGTGGTAAAATAAAAATAAAATAAAATAATAACTCAGCTCACATTTATATAATGCAATTACAATGACAAAACGCTTTATCTCATTTGATCCTTCTAACAACTCTGATGCTGGCAGTGAAAGCACCACATTTTGAGATGAGGAAACTGAGGCTCAGACAATTTAAGTGTTTTGTCAAAGGTTATACCTTGTGAGTCAGGTTTTCTAACTCCAATTACTATTCTTTAAAAAAAAAAGTGAGGCTCAGAGTGGTGGCAACATTTTATGATTCTGTGACTGAGAAGAGAACTTGGATCTTTTCTAGCACAACTACATTTTTCAGGTGAAGAAACTGAGGCCCAGAGAAATAAAGGGATTTACTCTAAAACACAGTAAGTGATGGAGTCATCATTTATACCAGGTCTTATGACTCTGAATCTATTGGACTTGTACCCAGCCAGCCACATATACAATACCCTCCAACCTTCCACCATCAGTAAAGCAAAGGGGGTAGAAATATATACATAATCCTCTGGCTACATGGTTTATCTTTCCCCCTTTCAAAGCTGCTCTACAGGTCCATTTTAATCTGATTTCATCTGCATAAAAATATTGGGGTGGAGGGAGAAGGGATGAGAAAAGTTTGCTCAGTGGTTTATCTTCCTTCCCAGGCATCATCCACCTACTCCCACTCAAGAATTCATACTAGACAGACTTTGTGGTGCACAGAAAAATGGGGACCAAGCCAATACTGCCTCCTATTGAAGTCAATCACAAACAGAGACTTTGGCTTTTACTCTATTTGTGTTCGAGAATACTAATCAAGATGTGCTCTAAGCCCTTTGATCCCACCTGGATTGACATCTTTCCTGAGAGAGCACATATACTATCTCCTAATTTATATCTCCATCAGCTGTGAAAGAGGAGACTTAAAAGCTGGCTTGAAGCTTAACATCAAAAAAACTAAGATCTTGGCAACTGGTTCCATCACTTCCTGGTAAATACAGGGAGAAGAAATGGAAGCAGTGGTAATTGTATGTTCTTGGACTCAAATCAATCCATACTTAAAGAAATTAATTCAGGCTATTCCCTGGAAGGTCAAATGCTAAAGCTGAACTTAAATGTGGCCAC